ACGTCGCCAGAGCCTCGGCCCCAGCTCCGGGCTGCTCCTCCACCACGGGAAAAGCCCAGGGTCTCTGCAGTTTGTGTTCAGCGACAGTACAAACGGCAATCAGCGAGCTGCAGGTCCTGGGCACTGACATGTAGCTTCTCATTCTTCTTAGGGACGCTCAAGTAGCAAGAGTAATTTCCTGGTGTAATGTTTGTCACCTAATCTGCAGCCAGGAATCAGTGCTCCAGAAGACTGAAGTTATCACATCCTATATTTCTCTTTGGCATTCTCTTTCAGAATGCAGATGTGCTAAAAGAAAAGAGTACAATATTTATCAATCTCTATCTTCGAATGAAATGCAAGACAGATTTTGCAGTTGTATTCCCAGTATTGTAATAAAAACACACTAGAACCATAATTGTTGCAAGTGTCCTGCTTGTAGTAAACTTGAGATTTTAATACTCTTTACAAGTTTATCTGTAATATATATGATGCCCTAGGTTTTAGATTTTCTATTTTCCAGATTCTGTGCTGCTTTACTGTGTAGTTCTGAGTTTCATATTAGGGGATTGTGAGTTCTCTGCACAGAGCAGGGAGACAAAACAATTCCTGCTCCAGATGGGCACCAAGGACAAATGATCCAAATCTCAGGCCCAAGAGCACAAACACCGTGGGCTGGAGAGAGAAAAACAAGCAGGATGGGACTGCGTGGGCTAAAGCTGGGATGGGACAATGAACTGCAAGATGCAAATGGAGCAGAACTGATCAAAGTGAGAGACCCCGTGCCCGGTTGTGCATTTTGGGACCATTTTGGTTCATCTTGGGTGCAGCCCTGGCTGGGCTCTTGTGCTGCCCAAGGTGGATCCATTGAGGCCTTATATTAAGTACCTACTTTGTTCTTTAAATCCATCTAGCCTCTAAGTCAGCCTTCACACGGCATCATATAGGTTTATATATCCTGAAGAACTTAGGCTTGTTAAATTACTGCATTCACCTTCATGTTACTGAGCAATAGCACAGATTTTGTGTCTTCAGCAGAACTGGTTTGTCTTAGTAAAAAGACTTAGAAGTGAAAAACTTCCCAAGTTAACTAGAATTAAGGAAGGACATTTGAAAACAGACCAACCCTATTAGTTTATGATGTTTCCAGATCTACTACTCTGTGCAGCCTAAGGAAGCTGTAATGGAATAAGGGAAGAGAGACCTTGCAGCCCTGTTATCCATAAGTGTGTGGAAAACCTTCACACAGAGTGCCTGCACGGCTACTTTAGGGACTTGGTGACAGAAGAGCAACATAGGATTGAACTAAGACAGACAAATATCAAATTAAAGTCAAAATACAAGTTATTTTATTTTCAGATGGGACCGCAGATTGTATGCTGCTCACTATCCTTGGGGTTCAGTATGTCCTGCAGCATGGCTGAGCCATGAGACTTGTGGAGTAGAATTATGAAAAGGTGAAGCACAAACATTTCTTATGCACCTACATTGCATTACCAACTCGGCACCTTAAAATGGTTTTGCTCTTTTAATGGAAGTTTATAGCTGCAATTGAAGATTTTTTTAATTGTTGAGAAGCTCTGAATAGAAGCAAATATTCCTGCTAAGTACCTGTGGTACGTAGATACCTGATACCTGGCAGTGGAAGAATGTGCATGTACTTACATTTAAATCTCTGAAGTATTCATTATAGTCAAGAGCATATCCAACCACAAATTTATCTGGAATTTCAAAGCCTGTATCTGCAAGAAAATACAGTTCTTTTTATAATTCAGTGATGTAAGTAGCTTTGAATTGCACAGTTGGTATTCAACACATACTTGAGCTGAGAGTAATAGGCATCATCTCTTTCAGGGTGCTTTCTCAAGAATCTGAGCTGTAAATTGATGACAGAGGTTAGAATCTAAACCATTCTCATCAGCCAGTAATAAAATTAAGGTCTTAAGGGAATTATTTTTATTAACAAAATAATTGTTTAAAACCTAGTTATGAGTTAGTCCTGGTAAAGGAGAAGAGGAGTGAGATTTTACTTGAGTGAAAGTAGATGAACTGTGATTCAGTAGGACTTTTCAGTTTGGAAACAAGGCAAGTTTAATAATGCCAGATGTCAAAACAAATGCCCTCTGGGGTCAAAACAGAGCAAAACACAGTTAAAGCTTGATCCTGTTTCTGCTATCTAAATAGTTAAATTTGTATATCAAGTAGCTAAATCTGCACTCAGGAGAAAAAAGAAGGTGATCATGAGGCCTCAGGATGGTGTAGCTGGTCATTAGTTCACAAGTTTTTATGTAGTTTCTCCCCATTTTTCTTGGCCTTCATGAAACTTATGTGCTAGTTGTCAGATATGCTTCCTGAAGTGAAATTGCAAGACTGTGTTTTGGAAAATACAGACAAAAAAAAATGCTAGAAAAACATGATACTCACAGTCTGGTCTGTAGCCTGGACTCTGACTTGTCCTTTTAACAAGCAGGCTGTAAGGCAGAGCAGAGAAGGTTGGTTTTTAAAATATGTCTTGCTCTAAGTTGTAGACTTCCCTTCTGCCACGCCTCTCTATAAGGTTCTAAAATCATGCACTTAAATTAAAACATGTGAGATTATTGCACAGAAAGAAGTGGTGTTCAGCCTTGAAGTGGAGGGAAAAGCAAAGGCTCTGATCTTTATGTCTGAGTGGCTCAACTTTGCATTCAGTTCCCTTCAGTCCTGTGTCTCAGCTCTTTGCCCTTCCATGCAGCAATGGACACTAGGATAGCACAGAGGGGGAAGCATGTCCGAGTGGCTGGTAATGATTTTAGTGGGGAGGGAGGGAGAAAGGAACAATTTCTTCTGCAAAATTACATCTATTCTTGCTTTGCCTGAGCACTTCAGAAGAAACTGAGACCCTCCTGGACAGTCACCAGAAGGACTGTCTGAAGAGCTGATGCTTAAAGCAACTGTTTTTATAAAGCATTGTGGTTACTTGAGAAACACAGGGATATTCCACAAAATTTCCTTTTAGAGATCTACTAAAAGCAGGTCTAGAATGCTACTTGAAATCATCTTCCCAGTGCTGACAGACTCTTAGATTCTGGAAACTTCTGTGGTTGAGGATATTAAGAAATATTCTCAGTGTTGTCATTCTAGTACTGAGGCAACTTGAGGTGATGTTAGAAAACCTATGGAAAGAGATGAATTTCCTTCAAACATAAAGTAAGAAACAAGGAATCCAATAGACTTTATAACTGCATGGAAAGAGCCATAAAACCTTTTATAATTAATTTGAGCAGTGAAGATGGTAGTGCACAGGTGAAATTCCCAGTTTAGGACACACTTAATTTTTGAGCAGCTGAATAAGGATTACTTTCCTGCATTTGCTTCCTCACCCCCAAACTTCAAGCCAAACAAGCACCTGTCAGCATGCAGACTATTCACCCAAATGATTTGAATATGTTAGTTAGTGGCTATATCATTGTACCTTACAACTTTTACCATCCTTGGTTTCTTGTCTTTTATTTTTGAAAGCAGTGCTTTCATTGTTCTACCAGTCTCAATAATGTCCTGAAAGAGATAAAAAAATAAATTATCTTTCAAGTTTGAAAGGAAAACCAGACTGTCAGTGGATTAAATTAGAGCATAACAACCTAGCAGCCCAGTAACATAATTAATTATTATTTTATATGTAATATGTATTAATTTGAAAAGAAGGAAAAAAAATGCATGTCATTCCACCCCTTGTTCAGTCATTACTTACCTCTACTACTAACACATTCTGGAAGAGATTACATAGGGAAAGAAGGAAAGAAAAGAAAAGAAAAGAAAATACTTAAATGCCAATTATCAGCAAATTATACAGCCAAGAAAAGCATACTAAACCCAAACCCTCAGTTACAAAGAAGTTGCATTGATTTTTCAGAGGAGATTGTTACTTTTACTAATGACTGTACTTTGGTGCTTTCCAAAGAGTCTTTCTCTATTTATGAAAGTTTAAAATGTGGTAATAAAAGCATCTATATCAGATCTATACACTGCTCTATGTATAGCACTAGTATTCTAGAGCCACACCGAATGAGTCAGTTTAATATGGTTCATTTCTGGGCATTCTGGGATAAAATGGGGAATAGGATCTTTGGGAGCAGTCATCACTGATCACTTCAAGTTTCCACTGAGATCAGTGGGAATTATTCACTGTTTCAAAGCCCAGCAATTTAATTCAGTGTTAAGTGGCTGGAAGTATGTAGTATCACAATCTTAATAAAGATGGATTTCCTGGAAAATGCACAAGAACAGTTTTTTCCTTTTAAAAGCTGAAGATGCTAATTCGTACCTTCCCATTTAGTGTAGACAGTTCCTCTCCAACAAAACTGATTTTTTCTGCAGGTGAATCATTCTAGAAGGAGAAGGAAGAGATTGAAGTCACATAAAGCATGCCCAAAAGGGTTATCCTGTATTTGTTTGAAAGGTGTGCTGCTCTTGCTTTTTGCACGAGGAGGGAGTTTAAGATCTGCCCCTGGCTTTGTCATATTGAGTATTCTGCTATATGTTTATTCCAGTGAATGTGTAATATCCACCCTTTGGGGAAGATCAGTAAATCAGTTCCTTTTTAGTACGTAATTTGAAAAGAATATAGGCATAAACTCAATTTTTGTATGCATAAACTCAAACTACCAGTATTTAGAATGCCAGTCTATGGACAGAGTCAACTTTCCAAAGAAAAGAAAATTCCTTACACAGTAGCTTTTTATTCTGACAAAATCCACGGTAACAGGAACAGATTTATCACCATTTTGATTTAGTGCTTTTATACGGTCCAGCAAATCAGCAAAGAATTTATAGCCTCCTTTAAGGACACAGAGTGCAACAATGTGATGACTTCCCATGTCTTGCATGATATCTCTAGCCAAACGTTCTGTCCTGTGAGAGAAAAAAAAAAAAGGAAAAAAGAGTTTAAAAATTCTCATCTTGCTGTTTTGTTTTTATAGCTAGCAAATTGTTACCGCGGCAAGTCATAGGAAAGTTAGCTACATATTTGCACAGCACAAGCTGATTTAACCCATAAACCTTAAAATTGCAGGATAGGTGGTCTTAAAGATATTTGAGGGAGCATGGATGCTTAACTGAGCTTGTAGAGGAACCCTCTCCATAAACCCCCTCTTGTACTAGATTTTAGGACAGAAGTGTTAGGCTGCAGGGTTTCCATCTTTCTCATGGGCTGCACAGGGCAAGGACCTTGGTCTTTTCATTTGGAGGGACAAAAATTGGCATCACTGTCCCTGTTCTTTTCTGTTTACCCTCATACCTGTCCAGGATGAGTCCATGAGGAATGAAGACTCTTTCTAAATCTTCTTCATAATGCTTAGGAATGCAAAACAGATTTTTGTTGTAGCCACTTTCCTCATCTCTTATCTGCAAGGGAAAGGGAAGTAAGTCTAAAACTAGCAACAAAGTCATACAAGAAAAAGCTTCCAGTCTCTGATAGTGTTAAGAAAAAATTCCTCCACCCCAATAATGTGTCAAAATAAAAATATTTCTGAGAGTTTTTGATCTTTCTGCAAGAACTGTTCACAATCTCATAACTCAGGAGCTGGTGGCTGAGTTGTGAATGGAGTTATGAATGGATAAACAAGTAATTTGCCCCAGTCATTATGAGATACATTCTTGGCCATCATCAACTCCTTTAAAAAGCCACCCAAAACAATAACAACCTCTCCTCTTGTTCCATTTGCTGTTCTGCAGAGCTCAGTTGCTTGCTTGTGTGGTAGACAAGTGAAAATTAAAATGTAAGGCAAAGGAGATTGAGATTACAGGTCAGCATGTGACTTTGAGGTGCTGCTCTACCTTGATCATCATTTTCCACTGTGTAAAAGAGAAAACTCTGCTTCCCAAGCATGAATTCACAGCTGAATTTTTGACATTCCATCCATTAGCTGTCTTAGAGGACAAGGGAGATGGCTCACACCAAAGGAGAAGCTTTGGGATGGCAGTGGGAAGAGGGGAAGCTGCAGAGGTGGGAAGCTGTTGTGCTGTTTGCCTCTGGAGCAGAGTGCTCCTCATCGTGGCCAGGGCTATGTCCCACAGATCTGGACCCTAACCCTTTTTGCCTCCAGGGTTTCAGATTACAGATCTTTATTCAACATGCTGATTTCAGGCTGTTGCACCCAGAGATATCTGTGTGTCTAGAAAATCCATAATCTCCATTTGGGTTTCTCTTCTGGCCCAAACAGATCGGTGTCTTTGGATTCTACCTCCCTTCAAGACCTAGATGAATGCTTTGTTCATTTATAATGTGGTAAAAAAGCAGGCAAGAAAACATATAAGGAAGTAGAAAAAATGTGAATAAGATTAATATATAAGTTTTAGAAATAAAGTTGGAAAATCCCCTTAAATTAATGAGGTTTTGTCACACTTGATACTGCCCTGCTGTTGCTAAAAATACAGAACTAACTGAAAGAAAAATTCAGAGCTGGCTCAAAGCTTCAACAGTGGAAAATAGGTTATCTACATACCAGTTACCTTTCACCGAACTCAGTAAAACATTTTTCTAAAAGCTCAGAGCTATGGATTCATCAGTAATAACATAAAGTATTGCTAACAACAACTTAACACCTGCAAACTCTTTAGACAGATGAATTGTTTTTAATTCTCCTTTTCTTTGGCATAGGAGAGATAAGTGCTTAGGAAGAAAAGAAAACTGAACTGTAGAAAACAGTAGTAGGTTATTACTTGCAAAACTCATGGCAGCCAAAAATAAAATAACCAGTTACTGCCATTTATTTTAAACTGGCCACGAATAGCTTCCTGCATTTAAAGCTAAAGATAAAACTGGAGACAGGTGTTAAAGGAAGTTTCAGAGAACAGATCATAGTAGCACAAGGCAATGGATATAGAAGCTCATCCTGGCTAGACTAAGCATATTCTGCAAGTACTCAAAATTGATCAGCCCTAATGCTCCAAGAACATGCAGAATGACCTCGCAGCTGGGCCCTGGGTGGGTGGCAGCAGTTCTGTTCTGCCTGGTTTAGTTATTATTTCCTTCATGGCTGAAGTCAGTGAAGTGAAAGCATAAGTGCAGGATTGGTTTTAGATCAGGTTTGTTCGTGCCTCGTTGATTGTGGAGAGACACTGGGATCAGCTGGGTCAGGCTGTGCCGCAGCACTGAGAGCAGCTTTAGTGAGTGCAGAGCTGCTCGTGGATTGGTGTTCAGTTGACCCAATGCAGCTCCAAACTGGCCCATTTCTGCCTCTGGGAGGTTGCTAGTGGTGAATACACGGGCAGGATATGAGATTCTGACTTAATTAGAAGCATTGGTCAAAGACAATGATTATTTGAGACTACTGGAACACATAAACATCATTACCATTTGAAGTATCAAAAAAAAGCATCTTTAAGGATAGTAACTGACACCAGTATAAAAAGTGCTCTTTGTTTTGTTGTTGAGCTTGGTTTATTTTGTCTCCAATATTCCCATGTCTATTGCATTCTTCTTAACTGCAGCTTAAACGCAGTGATAATTCTCCCTGCAATTTTTAGCAGCTTCTTTTGCCTAATTGTGATACTGATTGCGGTATTTAATGGACTTCAGCTTTACAATCTGCTTTTGCAGTTATAAATGCACAGAATTTCTTCTGCACAGCAAGTTAAAGGTCAGCCTTCTTGCCAAAGCTGAGCTTCCTGCTGCATTTGGTGAGTGACACCACAACTGCTTCAGTTCAAATGAGGGATGATGAGCTTTGTCTGCGTGGATGTAACTGTGGAATAAAGGTAATCTTGAGGCATAAAGGTGTAAATAGTCATTACTGCTTAAAGCTACTCCAGCAGTGCAGCTTTATAGCTGTTACTTGGTTTAACAGCTCTGCTCATTGAAAGTCTTGGGTACAAACAATATCTGCTACAACAATATCCTCTGTGTGAAGCATTTTTTAAAGCCTAATGAAAGGTTCAAAACCAGAACTTTAAGGATTGCATCAGTTTGAACACCCCATCACCACAGCAACCTGCCTTACAGGCTCACTAAAGCCTTTGCATTGTTGAATGTTGCCTTGACATATGCTGAATAATACAGTGACAGCTCATAATAATAAAGCAATCTACTAAACTGTCATGCAAAGTCATTAAATTTTTGAATAATGAATTTATAACTTGAGAAATTAGTTATTTAGTTTAGTTTCAGTCTCATCTGTTCAATTACTGATGTAAGTTTCTGAGTTTAAGTGGAAAAAAACAACAAAATTAACTACAGCAATTTTGTACAGTAGAGAAATTCATAACTATTATTTTGTCAGCACAGAATGAAAGAATATGAATATAAAGTCAAATAATGTCATTCATTTGTAAAACGTGAGTCTATCAAGATGCCTTTGCTCTGAAAGGCATTTTTTTCTGCTGAGTAAATGTAAGAATCAAAGCCTTTCATTAGTCAGTATTTCTAATGTTCTGCTGTTTTTGCTGAAGCTGACCTTTCTCTCCCAGCCAAAGCTCCCTTCAGGCACATAACCAAACACAAGGACATTATGCTTTCTTACCTGCAGTCCATGAGCCATAATCCCTCTTTGAAGGATGCTCCTGCAGAATCAGTTGGTGTTATTACTGCAGTTTGGCTGGCTCTGTTTTAATCTTCCAGTCAGACCATGACTTGCTTCTAAAAGGTCAATATTGCCATCTTTCCTGCAGGAAGCATTACTTCCTTCTGCTAATGCACTGACATCACAATCCTAGGCTCTTACCTAATCAGATTAACCAGAAATAAAATGAGCTTGAGCCCTGCTGTAACCAATGAGAGTAAAGATGTGGGGAACAAGGGAGATGCAAAAGAGAAGCTCAAGAATCAAATTAATGGCAAAGACTAGGTAGAATCTGAGGTGGAGTTTTTAACTGAAAACACACATCAGAGATTTGGTTGTAGCAGGTGGTAAATCAGTGGTGTGTGTGTAAAAGGTGAGTTTATATACCATTTTCTTACAGTGTTTGTTTACACAATCCATTGTTGTGACAAAGTCCATGTCTTTTAAAAATTCAGGTTATAACTTGCTGTCAGAAAATGTCAGTCCGAGATAAAGCAGACTAAACAAAGCATGTTTATAAAAGGATCTTGAAGGAGAGGTCTGCAACTGCTGAGATGGGGTGAGCCCTGTCTGTCATTCTTCCAGGTCATCCTTTCATAAAATGAGAGGGTAGCAGTTCTAGTAACATGCTTCATATCATATAAAATCAAATCATGCTGACATGGCCTGTAATCTGATTAATCTACCAACTGCACCATTATCTGGGATTAACATGAAAGTCTTAAAGTTCTAAAAATTAATCCTACTTGCAAAATGAGCTAAAACCAGCTTGCATGCAACATATTACAGGATGTTCTTACTAGATGGGATATATTTTATTAATTCAGTTAGTTTTCTGTTCTCTTGTTGAGAGAGCACAGTTGCTAATGAAAGGAGATTTTTCTTGTTTCTTTGTAGTCTCACATTTGCTCTTCAGATTGTGGCTGGTGACGCTTGGGATAATGTAGAAAATCTGTTCCAATGGAATAATGGGCATATCCACAACCTTAAGTGAGACATTAAATAGTAGTTCTTTTGGGAACTGTTAGTGCCTTGAGGCGACCTGACCCCTATTTGATGTAGTCAGCAGCACCTTCCTTCTGTGAATTCCCTACTGTATTTCCTATACACCTGTGAGCTCCATATCCTGAGAAAAGCTTTGCTTTTCTAATTCCTAGTGTAAGGTGGCCCTTTCTAGCTGACACCTTTGTTCGTTGATTCTCATGTAGTTTTCCACATTTAAACAGAGTTTAGCCTAGTTTTGCTAAAATCAACAGCTTGAATGCAGCTACTTGTTTGAAACGTCTTTTTAATCAAGGCACTAATTATTGGCCCTACTCTCAGTTTACTGTTTTCAGCAGTCAAACTGAGGACAGTGTTTGAAATTATAGTGAAAAAATAAATACTGTATGCATATCTGATATGCTCTGTAGCTCCCAGCATAGCTGTGCCCTGTTTCAAAATGCCCTGTCCTTCTCTCTATTATGGACTTTTTTGTGTGTGTATCTCTGTATAGGGAAATCCTGACTCCTTCTTGGCATTACTCTTTCTTGGATTTCTCCTTCCTGCTCTCTGATCAAGCCGCCTGAAAATATTATCACATGTAATATATTTGCTTTGGTTCTGGATATTAGAAGGCCACCTTTGCTGTGTAAATTTTATAACCCCCTGAATTTTTTACTTTAGTCAATTTTGATTTCATATTACTCACATATCTAGAAACTGTACATTGGATCTTGGAAATCTTTGTGTTTCTTTAGGCACTGTGCTCTTAGATCTGACCTGAACTGGGCCCAATTCTAAAGTCCTGTTTAATTCTGTTTCAGAAAAGGGTTGTAGAAATTCCTCTCACTGACTTACTTTTGTGTTTTGGCTGCATGGGGAATATTAGCTGAGTGACAAATGAGCAGTGACTTTATTTATTAGAGCCCATGTTTATTCTTTCATTACACTTTAAGAAGTCTCTGCCTACTCTGTTTGAAAACTACTTCCCAGATCATATTTGTTCAAATGAATTTAGGCTTCTCAGTAAATTCTACAGAACCATGATAGTAATCACACACCACAATCACCTGTTTTAGTGTTACATTCTGAAGAAAAAAGTCCTCACAGGTAAAAAGTTCTTGCCAAAACATGACAAAAAATGACAGCCGTTTGTCATTGCTGAATAATGAAAATAGAATGGAGTCAGCTGGCATCCTTGGATGGCTTCTCTGTTGTAAATTATGTGATCATACTCCTATAGGAAAGAACAAAAAAGTTTAGGTGCATATGTATTTGTTCCATATGGGAACCCCAAGTGCATCTTTTTAAAATTAAGTGTTCTGAGGAAACCAAATCAGGTTTCAATCTCTTGCCCTGCTTTAGATAATGGGATGCTGAAAGAGCCAATAAGTGAAGCCCACACAAACAGACTGGAAATTAATTAGATCAGCACTGATAGCTTGGTAAACAGCAGTCAGTCCATATAGAACAACGGTGCTCCTGGCCTTGCATCTATTCCCAGAACTCTTGAATCAGTAACTACTTTTCTCAGGGCATGATTTTGCTGTTTCCATAACTGAGTTTGTTAAGTAGGTTTACATTCCCTAACTGTTGGGAGTGACCGGCCTTGAGACTGCTGCGATCATTTTAAAGGTCCTCCAGAAATATTGTATGAACACTAACAGAGCATTTAATTGAATTAGACTAATTTCCGATGAGTTCTTTTCGTTCATGCGGCAAACACCCGCAGCTGGATGGGATGTGCCGAGCGCTCCGCTCACCGAGCTCTGCCGAGCGCGCCCGGCCGTGCCGCGAGAGGGCAGCGCCGGCCAGGGGGAGCGCTTCGGGATCGGGCTGGGGATCAGGAAAGGTTCTGCTTCCCCAGAGGGTGCTGAGCACTGCCCACGCTCCCAGGGAATGGGCACGGCCCCGAGGCTGCCAGGGCTCCAGGAGAGTTTGGGCAGGCTGCGAAGGATGTACAGGGGGGATTGCTGGGGGTCTGCAGGGACAGAGGCTGGGTGATGACGCTGAGAAGGATGGATAGGGACTGTTTCCAGGGAAGGACATGGAGTTGCAGGATTTTAGCTCAGTTGGTTGGAACATGGTGTTAATAATGCCAAGGTAGTGGGTTTGGACCCTGTATGGGTCATTCACTTCAGAGCAGGGCTTGCTGATCCTTGTGGGTCCCCTTCCAACTCAGAATATTCTGTGATCCTGTGACATGGGGAAATGGATTCCTACTGACAGAGCGTAGGTTTAGATGAGATTTGGGAGGAAATTCTTGAAAACCAAGCTTGGTGAGACCCTGGCACAGGGTGCCCAGAGCAGCTGGGGCTGCCCCTGGATCGCTGGCAGTGCCCAAGGCCAGGTTGGACACTGGGGCTGGGAGCAGCCTGGGACAGTGGAAGGTGTCCCTGCCCATGACCCCTTCCAACATAAACCATTCCATAATTCAGTCATTCTGTCATCCCTTGCAACTCTGAATATTCTGTGATTCTGTGAAATTTTAACACCAGTTCCAAACTTGTATAATTGGGGATTACAGGAAAACTGCCCTGATCTGAATCACTGAAGATCTGACCCATAGGTTCCAAGTTCCGAGTGGCTGCTAAAGCCTTAAATCAAAACTCAGCCCTTGTATTCAGTGGCTGATCGGTTATTAGGCAAAATGATACAATGGCTGGATTTCGGTAATCCCATGCCCATCCTAAATCTGCTTTTTTTTGCTTGGCACTTTGAATTCTTAGATAAGACCAGCTGCTTAATTGGTTTGCAAGAAATCTGTTTGGAAAAACTATGCTGAACATTCCATGGTAAACAATGCATGTTTACAATTAAAAACTAGGAGCAGTTACACAAATTTCAGTCTCCTTTTGTACTCCTTTAGATTGTGTATCTTTTTTATGTAGAAAATTTAATGAATATGAACCTTCATGCTTTCCAAATCTATTTTCTATCTGGCCTGAGATTTTACTAGTTTAGTGAAATAGAAAATTGATATAAATCTCAATCAGTATTGGATATTTATAAATGTTGTACATGAAAATGTTTTGGTTTTTCAACTCATTTGATAACTGCAACAAACCATCAATAACCCTAGGAAACACAGACTGGTGGATGCCAGAACTGTAGAAGATTACCTGGATTTTAAATTTGAATAATTCTTGAAAATATCCTGACACCAGTTCATAAGTAGATGAATGATAAATTCCTCAAGCTCAGAAATTCTCATGGCCAACATGGAGGAAAATTACAGTATTTATTAACAAAATCTTTGAGGCCCTAACAGAAAGGGTGGAGTGACTGTTTGAAGGAAATCTTTATATATCTTCTGCTACATTTGGTTTGTAGACAGGATAAATGTTTCAGTCTCCTGGACTGTCAATGTTAGAAAGTCATTTTGAGGGAGGATCTGATTAGGACTGGGGCAACAGAGCTGAGACAGGAATCAGGACTTCTGGAATTTATTCCCAGCTCAGACACACAGTTTATTTACTGTATACCCATGGCCAATTTATTTTCCTGACTGCTGCTGTTGTACCTCTGACCTCCCTGTGCCTGCTTTCCCCCTCTGCCTCTTGTAATCAGCTGACATCAGTGATTGAGTCTTTCTGCCCTGGCTGCACGGGTCCTTGTCAGTTTTGGGGACATGCCTTCCTAGAATCCCTATTGATGCCATCACTGCTGGGCATGATTTGATAAAGAACTGTGCCCTGTTTCCTTGCATGAGAAGCTGCAGTTGTTGCAGTTCCATGTGTCTGTGAGCAGACAGGAGCTGCTGCATGCCTGCCCTGGTGTGCAGGGTGTCAGATCCCATTCCCCACCCCCCAACAGCTGGAAGGGCTGTTTCACCTCGGGAGCAATGGGTGGTCTGGGAAGCAGCCTGCTCTGCTCTTGGGGAGCTGGGCTCATCTCCACTACAGAGATGTTTAATAAAAATATTTGTTAAACAATGGCTTTATCTGAGTGTGTGATCACAGCTGTTTTATTTTAGCAACGTAACAGCAATAACAATTAAATCCATATTTCTCCTTGGATATTTATTTTCCTGAATTCATTCTCAGTGCGGTGAAAGAATTTGGTGTGAATTGCTGAGTTAAAATAGAACTGCTTGCAGTGGATTTCAGACTGCTTGTATTACCTTAGTATGAGTCCTCTCTTACTTGAGATGTT